TGCACAACAAAATTCAGTGATAATGATATATGAAACTGGTTCCAAAGCGATGAAATGCTTGAGAGTTCTGGTGAAATGGCTGGTGAAATGTCGTCTGTTTCACTCATATAACCATGGGGAAAAATATCTTATATAATTATCACAGACACACTCTTATGGCAAATAAACATAAAACAATTAATCTGATATATACACACGGGCTCTGACCTTATTCACCTTCACTCCTCCCATCCAATATCCCACCCTGTTTGTTGCACAAGGATTTCAACAATATCATGAACAGATCTCAGATGCACTGTTTTTTCCCTTTGGTATGAAACTTCACCCATACTCCAAGCTCCACGGACAGACAGACAGACAGACAGACAGTTTATTATAGTCTCACCTCATTACAATGATTTATACATACTTTTAAAATACAAAAAATTATATCTCAAATACATATCATATGTAAAAGTATACAAGTATAAAATGTAACGAGCCACCCTATACAGGGTTACGAGAGACTTTTCATAAAAATAGCATATTAAAATATAAATAAAAGGTACATAAACTACAATGCATATTAAAGTAAAACCATGAATTAAGAATAAAGATAAATTGTTATAGCAGGTTTTGGCACTTAAATATATCACATCTTGGGAAGATAGGATAAAACTGGCTTATCTCGGATCATCGAACTTCTTAAAATCGTCTTCAACATCGCAACATTTTCTTAACAGTTCTTCTCTTTCGGTTTCATAGTTAGGACATCTTAGTAATACGTGCTCTTCGTCTTCTATACCATCAGCACAAAATGGACATATTCTTTCATCTGGGGGCGTGTTTGTGTAGCGTCCAGTCTCTACTTTGAGGGGCGCCACCCCACTCCTGAACTTGGCTAAAGCCGACCTGTATCTCCTCGGCATAGGGGTTCGAACATAATACTCCGTTTCGTAACCTTCCTTGAAACTGTTGTATGTTCTTAGCTTATTTCCGCCGATTCCTCTCTTTCCTTCCTGTTGTGAAACCTCATTCCTCCAATTTTCTTTAAATTGCTGCATAGTCTTATCTTGGATGGTATTCACAATGTACTGACTTCCATATACTTTGTCCAGTGGTATAATGTGAGTTAGGCTTGATTCCTGTAACTTCTTGTGTAGTCGGAAGGTCCAGTTGGATTTTCGTCTTATTGCCCATTGATGACTCCACTTGAATATCTTGTAGTTGAGACGCTGATGGTCCATTCTCCTATGGCGCATGTATAGTCGGGTGACTGACCCCCACTGTCGCACTGTGGTCGGGTCCCAGCCCATGTCTCCGGAAACAGCGTTGTTTGGCGCAAATTGTCTCAACCCTAAGAAGTATCTCATGGCTCGGTTCTGGACAGCTTCTATGCATGACATGTTGTATGTACCCCAAATGCTAGCTCCGTATTCAGTCACCGACCACACCATTGAGTCAAGTCCCAAACTCCATGCCACGTAAAAGCTTGAATTTCGCTATGAAAAGCCCTAGCGTTCTGCTAGCCGAACTTGCTGACGCCTCAGCCATTCTCTTGTAATCTAAGTGCTCTGTGAGTAGTATTCCCAGATATGTATATTTCTCCGTTATTTCCATATATTCATCGCCACACTTGAAAACCTCGGTTGTTCTTTTCACTCTTGCACCACGGAAATGAATAACTTTAGATTTGGAATAGTTCACAGACATATCGTTCTTCAAACACCAACTGTTAAGGCAATTCAACAACATTCACTTTCAGATTCGGCCAGTAGTACTATATCATCAGCATAGGCTAAAAAACCTACTTTACATTCTCCAGTAGATACACCAATGTCCATATTATTAATTAAAGTCATGAGGTCATTTAAGTACAATTAAACAATATAGGTGAGAGTAGGCAACCTTGTTTTAATCCACTGTCTACGTTGAACCAAGGGGTGTGTCTCCAATTTAGCCGAACACAACACTTTACTTCTTTGTAGAGCGACGGTATTGCTCCGAACATCTTGCCTTTGATATCAAGTTCCCGGAGTTTCTCCCATAGAATTCCTCTGTTGATAAAATCGTATGCTTTGCGGAAATCTATAAAAGCTGCGTATGTAGACTTGACCATCGCTTTTCACGTTTCAATTATAGAGGTAATAGAAGTGACGTTGTCAATCGTTGATCTTCCCTTCCGGAAACCGTTCTGGTTGTCTTCTATTATAGAGTGAGATTCTGCAAATCTAGAGAGCTTATTATTTAAAATACTGCAATAAAGCTTGTAGCTTGCGCTAGTCAGCGTCAGTCCTCTGTAGGAGAGAGGATCTCTCCTGTCCTCTGTCGACGACTTCGGTATCGGGTTTATCACAGCCTTTGTCCACTCAGACGGTATGCAGCCTTTCTCAAAACAAATATTAAACAGATTATACATGTATCTCGCACACTACTCATTCTTTAATACTTCCATTGGTATATTATCTAAACCTGGCGCTTTACCCTGTTTAGCCTTCACAATTGCGAATTTTATTTCGTCATGAGAAATAGGGTCACTCATGCTGTCTTCTATCACAGACACACTCTTATGGCAAATAAACATAAAAAAATTCATCTGATATATACACACGGGCTCTGACCTTATTCACCTTCACTCCTCCCATCCAATATCCCACCTTGTTTGTTGCACAAGGATTTCAACAATATCATGAACAGATCTCAGATGCACTGTTTTTCCCTTTGGTATGAAACTTCACCCATACTCCAAGCTCCACGGAACGGAGGGATGTTGTCACAGCAAACCAATTTTGAACAATCATTGTCAGAATGATCATATGCTTCCAAAGGCTATTTACCCTGTAGTCATTACATTTCTATGTCTTGAATCACTTAATTACCTTTACTTTCAGATGCAAATCCCCATTGTTAATCCCATTGTTTGACCGTCTTCCATCCTTAATGAGCTGTGCAACTACGTCACTGATTAAGTATTGTTGTTTATTTGTATGAGACCCGTGAAGATCCGGGGTAGAATAGGTCTTCAGCAACCCACGTTTGCCGTAAAAGGCGACTATACTTGTCGTAAGAGGCGACTAACGGGAACTTGGTTGATGCATGTCACCGTATCCCAATTGCGTGGATCGATGCTCATGATGGCTGGATTGTCTAGTCCAGACTCGATTATTTACAGACCGCCGTCATATAGCTGGAATATTGCTGAGTGCGGCGTTAAACAACAAACAAACAAACAATTGTTTATTTGTATGACTTAATCCTTGTCGGGTGACCTTGGATATAAGCTTTGGTCCAGAGATGGTCTTACCCTTGGTCTAGTTAGGGATAGGTTAGGCGCTCCGGGTCACCAACACCGTCACAACTATCACTATATGCTGACCTGGCACATAGTGAGTGAGTGAGTTGTGTTTAACGCCGCTTTTAACAGTATTCCAGTTATATCACGGCGTGTCAGCTTAATATGGGAGGAAAGCCCGAAGTGATGCAGGTCTCAGACGTTTACCACTTTGGTGAAACCCACGAGCACGGGTATGGTGCTGACAAACCTAGAAACATAATCGGGGTGAACCGGGTGAAACCACAATCATAGATTTCTGGCGTGTCCAGGGGACGCAACTCTGCACAGCGAATCGCGGCGCCTTCGACGACTGGGCCACCCGTGCCCCCTGGCACATAGCGTTCCTTGCATATAAGGGGCGGTCAGGTAGCCTGTTGGTTAAAGCGTCAGCTCGTCACGACGAAGAACCGGGTTCGATTCCCGACATGGGTACATGTGTGAAGCCCATTTTCTGGTGTCTCCCGTCGTGATTTTGCTAAAAGCGTCGTAAAACCATACTCACCCACTCACTCACTCACTCACTCACCGTTTAAAACCCCAATATTGATGTATAAGCGTGGCAAACAACTGAACCAACTGTTATAGGCGAAATGTTTAATAAATATTCTGTATATATTTGAGCATAACTGTAATCCTAAATGAATTTAACTGCCTGCGTATTGACAGTCACCATGCGCTACCAGATGGTGGACAGAAGTAGACATGCCGTCCCAATACCTCCAGCTGCCTGATTCGCCCACACGTTTTACTTTGAAGCCCATAGTTCTCGTTTGTAAAATACACGACTGAAGGGAGATTTTGTAGATATACTCTCCAAAAATAGAAACGCATACGTGGAGTGGTTTTGAAACATCGTCACTGTGAATTACCCTATTACTAGAACCAAGGACCCAAATATACTATGCACAAATGCACCGACCGAGCAAGGACACCGTATGTTGGTGCTCTTTTATGACGTCAGCACCGGCCGAGCAAGGACACCGTATGTTGGTGCCCTTTTGTGACGTCAGCACTGACCGAGCAAGGACACCGTATGTTGGTGCCCTTTTGTGACGTCAGCACCGACCGAGCAAGGACACCGTATGTTGGTGCCCTTTTGTGACGTCAGCACCGACCGAGCAAGGACACCGTATGTTAGTGCTCTTTTGTGACGTCAGCACCGACCGAGCAAGGACACCGTATGTTGGTGCCCTTTTGTGACGTCAGCACCGACCGAGCAAGGACACCGTATGTTAGTGCTCTTTTGTGACGTCAGCACCGACCGAGCAAGGACACCGTATGTTGGTGCTCTTTTGTGACGTCAGCACCGACCGAGCAAGGACACCGTATGTTGGTGCTCTTTTGTGACGTCAGCACCGACCGAGCAAGGACACCATAGGTTGGTTCCCTTTTGTGACGTCAGCACCGACTGACAAAGGACACCGTATGTTGGTGCCCTTTTGTGACGTCAGCACCGACCGAGCAAGGGAACGTATAACAATGTAGGAAAGTCGGGTTTTTTTTAATTTCTCGGTTTAAATAAAATACCAAATTCATTATATTGATTTATTCACCCAGCGGGCGATTGATAATTAGCTCTTAACCTGACACGGCCTCAATTTGGTATTCAACCACGTCTACCTCTGACGCAGTTACAGCGATCCACGTGATCAGTTACAAACAGTAGAAATAAGGCCCCTGGTTGATCCTTGGCAGTAGCTGTTTGAAGAATCAAGATGATGTTCTCCTCCAACTGCTTTGCGTGCCTCCTCCTGTTCGTTCTCGCAACAGCATCAGCACAATTTAATCCATCTTCAGGGTGTCCACCAGCGGGTCTTCTTAACAAGAAACTCAAGATCCTCAGTACGGCACTCGGTGACATTAACACCGGGCTTGATTGCGTCTTGACCATCATCGACGAGCAGTGTCCATGCCCAGGTAAGTGAAAATATATATTATCATACCTCCATGTCAGAATGATGAGATCTGATTGGGCCACGTGATCTTGATAAAATACTGTGTAACCCGCCTTGGAGGGTAATGAATTTATCATCGGGGTAACAAATCTCTTATACCCCGCCACGAGCAATATAAGCCGCACGTGCGTTTCGGAGAGGCAGAATAAATCCCTTATACCCTGCTTCAAAGTAAAAAGCAGCACGCTTTTTCCGAGTCATTTGAAGTCACGTGCCATATCACAAGTTAACCTCAGCTCAATCGAACTGTTGTTTGCAATATGATGGTTTGTAAGGGGCGACAACACGTGGCCGTCGAGCTGCACGGAGACGATTTCTAATCGTCTGACCCGTAACTCGTACTCAACTATCCAGACGAAAGTTTGCAGCTATTTGATTCGCCGTCTGAGCTCGAATTTGCAGAGCATGGTTTCGGATCAATCGATCCTATATTCTTGTCGTCGATCTGAGACGCCCTAAACAGGGGCGATCGTCAACATTTTGTTTTTGTTGCTACCTGTTCCATTGTCTACTAATCCCACAGACTGTGGAACATTGAACGTATTGGCCACTGCATTCTGATTTCTGCCTGTCTGTTGCATGTCAATAGCCTGTAGATTCTCCGCACATTGCAGGCGCCAGTCGCTACAAAGCAGAGACAATTTATGGATAACAACTTCTCTATTTACTGTTAAGGCGACGTTTCGCTATAGATCCTTATACCGATGTCAAGCAAGACTACATTTTAGGAGAGTCGTGGAGGTTGAAATGTTGAGTTCTTTGATTCTGGGAAGAAGAGCCTACAGGAATAGTTTATAAAATTGACTATGGACTACGTAGGTGAAACATCCCGCCCCATCAACACCAGAATCAAAGAACACAAAACTTCAACCATCAAATCAGACAGTAAATCAGCTACTCGGAAAATATCAGCAACTGCCCCAATCACGACATTAACTGGGAAAACGTCCAAATCCTCTCCATCAACCTCAAAGCAGTCTCATAAATTGTCTCTACTTTGTCATCCGTTAACTTCTAACTTCTGTGTGTGGCGTACATGTTACATGCTAGCGGGGCAGTTGGTCATTTTGTCCCCTCCAAACCCACGTGGGCCCATGTGTGCATGCTATTCGGGGAGTTGGTCACTTTGTCTTCTCCAAACCCACGTGGGGCCCATGTGTACATGCTAGCGGGGCAGTTGGTCACTTTGTCTTCTCCAAACCCACGTGGAGCCCATGTGTACATGCCAGAGGGGCAGTTGGTCACTTTGTCCTCTCCAAACCCACGTGGCGCCCATGTGTACATGCCAGAGGGGCAGTTGGTCACTTTGTCCTCTCCAAACCCGCGAGGCGCCCATGTGTACATGCTGGGTGGGCCAGTTGGTCACTTTGTCCTCTCCAAACCCACGTGGCGCCCATGTGTACATGCTTGGCGGGCCAGTTGGTCACTTTGTCCTCTCCAAACCCACGTGGCGCCCATGTGTACATGCTGGATGGGCAGTTGGTCACTTTGTCCTCTCCAAACCCGCGTGGCTCCACAATGAGACAACGCCTGAATTCGACAAATGTTCAAAATCTCGTGTTATCTCCTTGTCGTGCTTTGGTTAATTTTGTCATTTATAACTTGAGCGACTACGCGATCGTGTGCCGTCTAGGAGTCCGTACAGTCTCCATATTTTTAGAGTGTTACTGTTTTAAAGATGAAAACAGTAGTTTAGGGACACAAGCTATCATTGTCCATTGTCATAATTATATATATTGGATGTTTGGATGTATTGTATTATAACATTATCAATGGTGTTGCAGACGACTCCCCCGAGTGTTTCGAGACACGTGTCACAGACTTCCAAACTGCTTTAGGAAACCTGATTGGGGATGTCGCCAATGTCACAGCCGTCGCCCCAGTAGACTGCCCTGAGCGTAGGTCTTTAAGCTACAAGTATTTTGGAATGATAAATCACTGACTCATATAGTATTTACCACAACTTGTTTTCCTTTTACGCCCAATGAAATCTGTTTCGGCAAAAATCGAGTTTGTTCTCTTGACCTTCATATTATTGTTGATTTGACGAACACCTATTTACGGAGCCTAGATTGGCATCTATTGATTCAGATTCTGCATCCCTTAACGAAACAGTTATTATTTATCTTGATGAAGACAACTTAAGCCAGGCGGGCGCTTGCTTATTCACTTCAACTAAATCTATATTAACCTGGCACTGATTCCCACTAGTACCCAGGCTGCCTTGAGACACACGCTGTCCCAGTAAATGATAGCAGATCTAGTGGTGTTTGGATTCCCTGTTCACAAACAGAACGAATTGATAAGATATGTCAGACAACTAATTATATATCTATCAACTATAATTTTAAATGTATATTAACTGTATATAGTGATGTATATCAACTATTCTCTACGTGCGGGACATTAGTAATTCATGTAAACGTTCTTACCTGCAATTTAGACGAGTATTGAGCCTAACATTTCTAATTTACACCTCAAAATGTGTGTTTGTCACGTACGAACTATGTGTTACTTGGATTACAACTATTAGTTTAAAAAAACAAACAAACAAATTCAATATTATTCTGAACAATCCCGCATTACCTGAAACAATCATATTGTAGTTTTAAAGTTACTTTCATGTCCAGTTCATTAACATAAAAAAACTCAAAGTTTTAGAACGTACAAGAACTTTGTTATAGTTATTGTGTGGCTTATTCAACCTTTCCTTTCTATACATTGATGGTATGAGACCAATAAGTACCAAGATCTGATGAAATAGCCGACTCACGAGATAGTTTCTCATTTGTTAACTAAGGTAACTTCTTGCAATCGTTATCTGAATTTCAGAATGATATGTAACTGCAAAATATACACTAAAACTATATGGCTGCTATATACTTGAAGGTACCGGTGCGGTGTTCGTGGCTTCGTGCAATGGAACCGGAAGTGTTGCTGTGGTAGACCCCAATGGTGTCATCCAAAACGACTTCACATTAGACGAGAGTGTAACTAGATGGTCTGTTTTCCCCAACGGTGATACTTATGGGCTTGACTACATTATAAACAACCCGTTTGAAGTTCGATGTCGCGCCACACCAAATGGATCGGAAATCATATTAGGCGATACTACTGGTATGTGTATGACAACCTCGTTCCCACGTTTTGACCTCTCATGTCCAAGTGTGTGTTGTAAAAATGTCCTGTTCAGTCATGCATTGTATACTAATGTTAAAAATCAACTGTCAGGGAACGACCATTTATCATGTTGGGGTTGGCTGTGTTCAACATAGCAGTATACTGTCAGGGAAAGACCATTTATCATGTTGGGGTTGGCTGTGTTCAACATAGCAGTATACTGTCAGGGAAAGACCATTTATCATGTTGGGATTGGCTGTGTTCAACATAGCAGTATACTGTCAGGGAAAGACCATTTATCTTGTTGGGGTTGGCTGTGTTCGACATAGCAGTATACTGTCAGGGAACGACCATTTATCATGTTGGGGTTGGCTGTGTTCAACATAGCAGTATACTGTCAGGGAACGACCATTTATCATGTTGGGGTGGGAAGATCGCTTTGACACTAGGGAACTTGTGAATGCCACAACTATTTCCCAGTTACAGTTTGTCATTTATTTGTTACTAGATGCTCCACTAACAGCTGATGCAGTTGGTACTGGGATTGCGTACAATCCTGACACAGACGAAGACTATGTTGCCATTACGTTGAACGATCCGAATCTGTCTGGCATCTTTTCCTTCAGTAGGATGAACCCTCCAGATATCAACCCGCTTTTCTCATATGCCCCGACCGGACAGATTCAGTTCGTTAACGGGTATGTGCACTCCAACACAAGGTCGTAAACGTCCATATTGTTTTTAAATGCACGCAGTTATGACGGATATCCCGGGATGTATTTACTATATACAGCTATGCCAAGGTGTTAATCACATACATAGAATACGTCATCGGGAGAGATTGCGTAATGTCTGTGACCGATAATAACCATTGTCAGGTATGGTTTATATAATGTTCAACCCAGATATTTTGCATTTGCCAGACATATTTTTATATTTTTTATTCAATAGACTTATCTTAAACATTTTTTTCAAACAATCTGGTACATATAAGTTAGAACAAGACAACGTTTATCCATTTCAAATGTAAATGCTTTCTCTAAGTGCAGTATTATTTTCTCATTCGGTGGTAATGTGTAATACTACAAGGGGCGTGAACTGAAAGATCCAGTGATGACATGTTTCTAGAAATTGTCAGTGCAGACAGACAGTTAGACACATACATACTATTGTAAACGGCGTAGCAGGCCTTGATAATGACACAAAATGCCAAAATTCAATGTAACTCCAGTTAGTTTCCGATTAATACCCCTTCCCTATAACCCCACCTCTTCTTACAACACTACACAACCCCTATAACCCCACCTCTTCTTACAACACTACACAACCCCTATAACCCCACCTCTTCTTACAACACTACACAATCCCTACAACCCCACCTCTTCTTACAACACTACACAATCCCTATAACCCCACCTCTTCTTACAACACTACACAATCCCTATAACCCCAACAGTTCTCCAGCGATACTCCTTTCTTCCTTTAACACTACCTCTTCCGTGTAATCCCGTCTCTTCTTCAAACACGAGGGGTGGTGTCCCTCGCCTTGATATTGCTGGAATATTGCTAAAAATGGCTAACACCATTTCCACTCACTTACTCACTACCCCGCCCCTTCTTACAACACTACTCCTTCTGTGTAACCCCGCCCCTTCTTACAACACTACCTCTTCCGTGTAACCCCGCCCCTTCTTACAACACTACTCCTTCTGTGTAACCCCGCCCCTTCTTACAACACTACCTCTTCCGTGTAACCCCGCCCCTTCTTACAACACTACTCCTTCTGTGTAACCCCGCCCCTTCTTACAACACTACCTCTTCCGTGTAACCCCGCCCCTTCTTACAACACTACCTCTTCCGTGTAACCCCGGACCTTCTTACAACACTACCTCTTCCGTGTAACCCCGCCCCTTCTTACAACACAACCTCTTCCGTGTAACCCCGCCCCTTCTTACAACACTACCCCTTCTTTGTAACCCCGGACCTTCTTACAACACTACTCATTCTGTGTAACCCCGCCCCTTCTTACAACACTACCTCTTCCGTGTAACCCCGCCCCTTCTTACAACACTACTCCTTCTGTGTAACCCCGGACCTTCTTACAACACTACCCCTTCCGTGTAACCCCGCCCCTTCTTACAACACTACTCCTTCTGTGTAACCCCGCCCCTTCTTACAACACTACCTCTTCCGTGTAACCCCGGCCCTTCTTACAACACTACTCCTTCTGTGTAACCCCGCCCCTTCTTACAACACTACCTCTTCCGTGTAACCCCGGACCTTCTTACAACACTACCTCTTCCGTGTAACCCCGCCCCTTCTTACAACACTACCTCTTCCGTGTAACCCCGGACCTTCTTACAACACTACCTCTTCCGTGTAACCCCGGACCTTCTTACAACACTACCCCTTCTTTGTAACCCCGGACCTTCTTACAACACTACTCATTCTGTGTAACCCCGCCCCTTCTTACAACACTACCTCTTCCGTGTAACCCCGCCCCTTCTTACAACACTACCTCTTCCGTGTAACCCCGCCCCTTCTTACAACACTACCTCTTCCGTGTAACCCCGCCCCTTCTTACAACACTACTCCTTCTGTGTAACCCCGGACCTTCTTACAACACTACCTCTTCCGTGTAACCCCGGACCTTCTTACAACACTACTTCTTCCGTGTAACCCCGGACCTTCTTACAACACTGTCTGAAGCCTTAATTGTTAACAGCTTTAAGTATTCTGAACGCCAGGAAAGGGGTTACATTCATAAATCTTTAAACAATGTGTAACACAGTGTTGTTTGCTGCAGGTACCTGTACATGAATGATGGTCTAAGTATCATGAAACGACACCTCGTCGTTGGAGACTGGGCAACAGTACTAACATTTTCATTGCCGCCTCTGTCCTTCGTAGTTCTCGATGATGGTAGGTATCATGTAATTAATCATAATGTGTTTCCGCGTTACTATTTGCCTCATTTTCCTTTGTAATGTCTAGTTGCTCTATCTGTCTGGTGGGGGGCATGGGTGGCCCAGTCGTCTAAGGCGCCGCGATTCGCTGTGCTGAGTTGCGTCCCCTGGACACGCCAGGAACCTATGATTGTGGGTTCGAATCCCGGTTCACCCCAATTATGTTTCTAGGTTTGTCAGCACCATACCCGTGCTCGTGGGTTTCACCAAAGTGGTAAACGTCTGAGACCTGCATCACTTCGGGCTTTCCTCCCACATCAAGCTGACACGCCGTGATATAACTGGAATAATGTTAAAAGCGGCGTTAAACCCAACTCACTCACACTCACTCACTATCTGTCTGGTAACCATACTCCAGCCATGTCAAACACGGACGTTCTTTATTATCAGCTAAAACATGAACATTTAAAACTAATTAGGAAGGAAACATTTTGTCCACACCGAGAACATTTTCTGTGGGCATTTTCCTCTTTAATAAATGGTGTAGTTCTCAATCAGCCCATGTATGAGGCCATTGTTATATCGTGAGTAACGACGGGCTCTTTTCTGTATTCTTTTGTGGTTAGAGATTTTGAAAACCGAATACTAAGGAACGGGGTACGACCAGCATTTTATAGGTGGAAAAGATCCTTGAGTTTGTCAACATGTAAGCCATATCGTGACGAGAGGTTAAACATTAAGAATACATATACTAAATAAAAACCTGTCATCGATGGACAGTAAAATAACTAGAATATTACAGTAATATTTAAAACTAGCATACAAGCATTAAAAGATAACACTATAGGTAACAATACAATATAAACACGGGATCGCCAGGGACCATGGGGACTTGCAGCACCTTTGATACTTGCATGGACCCAAGCAGGATTAACACCATCCCTTCAGGTGTTGGCGCCGATTGGTGAAATTTAGCCGAAATATAAAAGAACACATATTAACAATTAAAACTATGATAGAAATAACGTACTTTGATTGATATGGACTTACTACTATAATTCAATGGTTGACATAAAAAACAGCAAACCACACAATCACTGACGTAACTAGTTTCATAGCTGCGCCTTAGTGGAGGGTACGCGGTCCATTTGCTCTCTCTTTATCATTGCCTAACGGTTCATACATTCAATTTACATTTCTCTAAAACAGGTAGAATAGTGTATTGTGATAGAGCCGGGGCCCTGTACATCTATGACCCTGCAGAGGACACATATAGACAGCTGAGACGTCCAAGAGTTGGGAATTGCTGTGGTTCAATTAAAGTCAGCCCATGTGATTCCCTAATCTACGTCGTCTACAAAGACGATGCGTGAGTAAAATGTTTCATACGATATGAATAGATACGATATGTTACAGTTCGATACAATGAACATTCTTACTTCAAAACTTTTCTTCACTATTGACTGTAATTGTATTGTGTCGTGAGGCCATTTATTTTATTTATATTAAACAGTATTTTGGTTCTTTGATTCATTTGGGAACAACCTCTTTCATATCGTACCTTCTAGAGATAGTCGCAGAAAGTGTTTCACCCTATCAGTGGGGCTGCCTCAGAACGTACCAGATATCAGATTAGGGGTAAGGGGAGTAACTGGGACGAAGAGCCTGGGTCTGGGTCAAGCTTGGTACTGGCCCCACCATTTGATGGTCTCAATGGACGGGAGAGGTGCGGCATCGGATCTTTGGGAAAATGTAATATGTCACTCAAAATGCTGTTTAAATTTTCAGAGACCATCTGATTGAACAGAGATTTTTCCCTGCTTGCATCAGTTTCTGTGACGTGTTATATATATTTGATACAATCCAATCAATTAAGGTGACTAAATGAAGACTTTCTTCTTTCAGGGATATTGAGATCTACGATACTACAATATTTAAATACGTTGGATCTCTAACATACACCTCGTCGACTCCATCGTCATGCCCGTCTATTGCATGCGATCCAACATTCTGGTAGGAATTGTTAAAATTGATCAGTAACATTTTTTCTTCTTATGTTAATTGCACTTTAAAACATCTTAATGATTCGCAATGGTCTTTTTGAACTGTGGTTGTGATTGTTAATCGTTCAATGTCATTATCTTCCAAAATATCAAAAACAAAACAGAACAGTAATTCAGATTATATAATTAGATGTATCTGATATGTTTACCATGTTTACTGCTTGTATATATACAATTCGTTCAACCTTAAATTGTATTTCTGATGTTTATTTTCATGTTTACAGCTGTGCATGAGCGGAGTTCGATGACGGTATATTATTTTTTTGTTTATTTTAGTAGCAACCTCTGAGCGAAGAAATTGTTTTCCATTTTGTGTAACTCAAGCATATGACATATTTGCTAAACGCAGAATTCCTTTGTAGGATTCCTACTATATCGTAAACATGTGTTAATGAGTAACAGTAGTATATCAGATGTTCGCGAAAAGAAAATACAACATTGTCATTACTTAAGATGTGAAAATATTTAAATTTTAAGAAATTGTCGTAACAGAGATTCTTCTTCGCAATGATGAGTGCCTGTGACCTTTTGAATATGTATTTTCGGGAGAATCAAGTACTTCATTTGCTAATATGGATTCGTCTTTCAATTTCAGGATGAGCTGACATCGTGAGCCACGTTATCCAAACGTAATAGAATGCAAAAGAGTGTAGAGGTATTGTTTCGTCAATAAACCTTTTTACACTCACAACATGTTTGTGTTTATTTGTCATTAGTGTGTACGGTATCTGTAAGAAAACAGACAAAGAATATTTGTCATAGTAATATCAATATTCCGAAACAGATTCCAACGCAAAGACAAAATAGCAGTATTCGTAAGCATACCGCGGTGGGGATCATAAGATCAGAATCATAAGATCAGATTAATTAGTTCAATCCTGTGATACCATTTTATTTTTAAACACCACTTTCACAGACGAAACAACTTCATCCATGGGACATGTGTTACTAAAAGTTGTTCCGTAGATACAGTTGCTTATCTATCTTCAAAAACTGAAATCGCTATGGTGTTTAAAGTAGATAAGTGTGTTAGTCAACATTTTTCGGAACAATTCTCTATGCTAAAAAATCAAATTGGCCAAATATCAGAAACATGATATCGAATCAGGTGTGCTTTAGGCCAATGTAAAGAATTTTGTGTAGCTCACGTGGTTGAGGAAGAAGTGAAATCTGATGGTGCTTTGACTTTTATTGAAGAATTTACTGATGTATTGGTTTTAAAGAAATTTGAAGTGGAAAGTGAAATTGGCTATGTTAGAATTGGAAACTGAAAAAGAAAAAATGAAATAGGAATACTGAAAAAGGACATATTAGACGAGGAAGCTGAGATAGCGAAAGACAAAATATATTTGAAGCTGAAAAAGAAAAGGAAGAATTGAATCTGTTAAAAAACTAAGCTGAAACAAAATGAGTCACAGGATGATTTCTCTGTCAGTATCTCAACAGGTTATAGATCGTTTGATCTTTCCAAACAGATTAGACTTGTTCCACCCTTCTCTGAACGTGATGTTCAATTTTTGTCTAACATTCGTAAGAATGGCCTGAGTCTGATTGTTGCAAAGATTATTTAGGGGGAAGCTCAGAAAGCTTATGCAGCCTCACCTTTGATGGGAGTTCTGATTATCAAGCTGAAGTTTTTGAACGCTTATATATGAATTGGTTCCTAAAGTTAAGAAAGAATTGTAGGTATCTTAAAAAAGTGGTGGTTCTACATTGGTTGAGTTTGTTAGTGGGGGGGGGGGGGGGGGGGGGGGGGGGGGGTTCGTTTTGTAGTTGGTGTACTTCAAAAGAGGTCAGTGTTGATTTTGATTGTTTGAGGCAGATGGTTGTGGTGGAGGATTTTAAGCAGTCTGTGTCAGGGGACATTCAGACATATCTTGATGAGCAGAAAGTGGATCAAATACACCAGAATGTCACTTAACCACTAACTCGCAGGGTGAGTTGTAGGCTGCCATTTGCAGGGTTATAAATCTGGAAAGGATAGTTCATCTCCTCCTAGTTCTAGATCTTATTCTAACATCTGTACTGTAGTTGGGTTGTTTTTTTAATAAAAAAGACAATTTCTACTCTTGTTGGTTCTAAAAAAAATCAAGATTTTCGTTGAAACCTACTTGTAGATATTGCCGTAAATATAAAGTGTCAATGCAAGAGAATAACAGCCTAGATTTTCTGCCAAAAGAGATTCCGCTTGGCGTAAAGGGACAATAGCTGTGGAAATTATATGACCACTGAAAATAAACGATGACACCAGGTGTTCGCGAAAAGGGTAGCATGTCCTGGCCATTCATACAATTTGCAAAAAAGAAGTATCTATAATCTGACGCAGCACAGCAGTACTCCAGCCATGCGGCGTCTGCCAAACCAGACAATCAAGTGATCGATGAACCAGAAAATCCAGTGACACGAGAGCACCATTACTGATTTTGTTGAAACAATAGACACAATACATAGGTCTTCAGCAACCCATGCTTGTCGTAAAAGGCGACTATGCTTGTCGTAAGGGGCGACTAACGGGATCGGGTGGTCAGACTCGCTGACTTGGTTGATGAATGTCATCGTATTCAAATCGCGTGGATCGATGTTCATGATGGCAATCACTGGATTGTCTGGTCCAGACTCGATTATTTACAGACCGCCGTCATATAGCTGGAATATTGTTGAGTGCGGCGTTAAACAACAAACAAACAAACAAACATTCTCAAAGTATCAAAAAGTGTCTGTTGCCAAACACTTCACACCAGCACTTCTGCAACACGATGACGCTCTGCAAAAGTCCAACGTGTCCTCTGATTTTTTTAAATCTAAAAACCAAATGTTAATCATAATTTATAAATTACGTCTCCTGCATACAAGAGAGACACTGTAGGGTTATACCCCAAGCCACACCTTAATGCTCCTAGCCAAGAAATTAGATTAAAAATTGTTAGAGACATTTGCTTTCCTGTTTGTTACAGTTTACCAAAACCGCTGTACACATTGCAAACGCCGCATCGCTAGTTCATACACAACAAACAATGAATGAAATCAAGTGAATCACAAGTAATGTGTATGGTAAGCAGAATCAATAAGACTGACAGCAATAATGGTCCACAGGCATTCATAGACCTTCCTTGAAAGTGTCCAAATAAGGAATGGCACCCTACGCACGTGTGTGGCGCTACTGCGTGCGTCACGTGCACACTATAGGGTGTGTTTTGGATTAACGGATCCCAAACATAAACGTTCTTGTGTAGGATGTTTGTCGTCATATATATATGTGTGTACATGTATTCATACATGATTATGAAATGATGGTACTGTATGACAAAAATGGGAAGCAGAACTGGGTTTTGTCAGTTAAAAAGCTCATTGATAGGCTTAGGTTATGCTTGGCAAAGTCAAAAAGTAGATTGTCCTGAACAATTTTGTGAATTGTGTACACGAAGGCTGAAAGATACGTACAACAAAAAAGTGGCATTGTTTGTTAGCTTTATCGTCAAAATGTCAGTACTTTAGTTTGTTTAAAACAAATTTTATAACTGCAGAATATCTTTTGAAACCACTCTTGTACAAATATAGAATTGCATTTTCTAGATTCAGATGCTCATCACATGAATTAAATATTGAAACGGGAAGATATTCCAAAATCCCAAAGGAAATTAGATTATGTAGAATGTGTAATCTACAGCCAATAGATGATAAGTACCATTTTGTTCTCATTTGTCCATTTGATCGGAATTTACGAATTGCATACCTGCATCCAATAATGTATTAATTTCCAAATATATTTAAGTTTAATTAATTAATATCTTCTATAAATATCAATATACTGAAGCCTTTGACTGCGTATGTACTAGTACCGTAATCGACGTAATAAGTGCCCAGGGCGCTCTCAAAATTAGGAATAGGGGTCTCTTATTCGAATATTATTTTGGTGAAAAAAACAGCGTTGAAAGCTAAATTTCGTGGTTTATGCTGACAGCCTGAAATGTTTATGTACGACAGATATATTTTTCCAGAATTACATTCCCCATAAATAGGGGTGCATATAACACACGAGTGTGTATTATACGCGAATAAATAAGTCTTGTGTACATTGATCAATTGGAACGGGTGCTAATTGGGATTGCTTACTAGCCAACATATTAGCAAATATCGCCATGGGCGCTTATTAGAGCGGGGCGCTTATTACGTCGAATACGGTATTCCATGCAATGAATTTTAGAAATGATAAGACGAGGGAGTGAAACAAGAAGAAATCACCAACTATCCACAAAGATATGTACTGTGGGCCCATGGCCTTTCAGAATATCTGTAATAAAGATTGATGGATTGATTGAAGTCATACATGACGAGCAATAAAAGACTGAGTTCCTGTGTAAAATTAACGGGTAGACATGATTGAACAATAGTTACGAGCTTTAAAAAGTGAACATAATGCATAATGATAACTCGATTGTTAGTTATATTTGTTCTCAATGCATTTGACCTGGAAATCTCTTATTAATTTTATAAATGGCATCAACTATTGAAGAATCCTATTTAATAATGACCCAAAACAGTTTCCTGTGTCTCCCCTTCTGTGTACTGCGAACACTAAAATACTATCTCTGGGATTTTTTTAGATACCGTCAAAGTGATTCGAGATGTTTAGAATACTGCCTGCTCTAGTTCTATACTATGTAAAGTATAAATAGGTAACTGAACACATTTAATAATAATAATAACTACAGATTTATATAGCGCTGGTATCCAGTTCGAAGACTACTCAAAAGCGCTTTATTTGAGTCTACACAAAAAAGAGACATTAAACAGCTAGGAAACACAAAGCCTCAATACTCCAAGAAAGATTTGGTGAAAAGATAGGTTTTGAGTCTTGATCGGAACAAAGTAGGACTGTCAATGTTCCTGATATCCAATGGCAGCCTATTCCATAGCTCAGGGGCAACTTTGGCGAAACTCCGACCTCCAAAAGTCACCAAGATCTAGTTAGTTTCCAATCATACTGACTCGCTGTCTTGTATAAACAGCCACACACTAAAGGGCACGTACGTTCTATATAACTGCAATAACCTTGAACGTTTAACCCCAGTCCACCTCACATAATCATGTCCTACCACGTTCAAAACTGTAAAGATGCTTCTTTAGCCACGGCAGGGGGCATCAGAAATTGCCTCACAAAATGTACCCATATGGGAAATCGAACCCGGACCTTCTGCGTGACGAGCGAGCGTATTAGCCTTTAGACCATCCCATACACCCCCCCCCCCCCTCCCACCCCACTAGCCCACTGAGATATCATGCCGCAGTTTAACATGAGCACCCCAATCAGACAAACCATACTGACTCCGTGCCGACCACTCCGTCTTTTATCCACATGATGCCGTGCACCAGGCAGGGTAACAACAAGTACCATCATGTAACGACTTTTTGGTGTGGCGCGACCGGGGATCGAAACCCGCACCATCCTGGTGCTCTATCAACTGCAATGCGGTCCGATGAATGGCACCTGATAACAGAGGATCCAGGCTAGGGACAAAGTCACACCACCAAAGATTCGTTAGATTCGTAAATCAGGCCCTGATTTCGTCATTCCATTACCTCTGATGCGCACATAAAATCTCTATTTTTATATCAGAGCACGTGTACCCGAATACGCTTGACAAAATGTCAGAACGGCCACTCTAATTTCGTAATTTGTAATGGTCTTTTTGACATCAGTAAAACACTGCCAAGCTACGACAATCACTTGCCTTATCTCTTCACTTGTTGTTATTTGTAAAACTGTACGTGGTTGTAAAACTGTACGTGAGTGTAAGACTGTACGTGTGTGTTACGTACAGGAGTATAAAAATGTACGTGAGTGTAAAGCTGTACGCGAGTGTAAAACTGTACGTGATTGTAAAACTGTACGTGAGTGTAAAACTGTATGTGAAAGTAAACCTATACGTGACTGTAAAACTGTACGTGACTGTAAAACTGTACGTGAGTGTAAAACTGTATGTGAAAGTAAACCTATACGTGACTGTAAAACTGTACGTGACTGTAAAACTGTACGTGATTACAAAATTGTACGTAAGTGTAAAACTGTAAGTGAATGTAAAACTGTACGTGACTGTAAAGTGTACGTGAGTATAAAACTGAACGTGACTGTAAAACTGTACGTGAGTGTGAAACTGTCCGTGAATGTACAACTGTACGTGAGTGTAAAACTGTACGTAAGTGTAAAACTGTAACTGACAGTAAAACTGTACGTGAGTGTGAAACTGTACGTGAATGTAAAACTGTACGTGAGTATAAAACTGTACGTGGTTGTAAAACTGTACGTGGGTGTAAAACTGTACGTGGGTGTAAAACTGTACGTGAATGTAAAACAGTAAGTGAATATAAAACTTAACGTGAGTGTGAAACTGTACGTGAGTAAAACTGTACGTGAATTTAGTCATTTAGTTTCTGTATTATTTAAAGGGGCACTGATCTAACGCAATTCCCCGGGACTGGTTGTTGCCTTTGTTATTGTTTTTTCCCAGTGAATACCCGGATGTATAGCAGAAATCTAGACTAGTTCGCGACCTCTGCTGCGCCATTCGTAAGCGCATTAGTCACTTTATGGGTAGTAATAAGGGCGTATGGTCACATTGATCAACAAAATGAAATACAGTTTTCGAGATAATAAGGAAATGTAGGTATCTTTGTGAGTATCATCGGTAATGGTGACGAAGTTTTGATAAGTCACTTGCTTGGTAATTTTGCGATTTTCGTTTACACTATTTTGACTTGCAACACAAAGTAAATATTTCACCTGAGCATATGCTATTTTTATAGTGTGTATATTTTTTTACTGTCAAATGTGTAACAAATTTATTAAACGTCTAAATATTCAGTTATTTTACAAAGTGACGGAAAGACATTTCCATCTGTATTATTATGACAACGAATTCCAAACATTTTGATGTTTAATGTCATCACCAAGAGACTGAAAATGTAACGTTGAAAAGTACATTTCTAAGTTGTTTGGCTTTTAATCCTACATAATAATCTGTTGTGATGTTTGTAGGCCCTTTTGATCGTCTTGATCAATCTGGACAGATTTTTTAGTCAAAATGACTGAACCCAACCAAGACGTAGAGAAACAAGAACGAATCGGTTCAAATGAAGGAAAACAAAATGCAGATATCATAATTACAACCTACCAAATTTATGTGTATAAGTTTTAGGCAGCTTCCTTTTTCGAGGAATATATCCGTGAATATCCACACAAAGGAACAATATCCCACTCGTCTGCAGCTGTACAAAGAAACTTATTCGATGTCACGTGTCTCAGTAACAATCAAATATTTTAAAAGATATATATCGTTTCGGGATATTATAACCCGTGTTCGTTTCTCAACTGATCGCTTGGATTGTTTCAGGTGTTTTACATAGGTATCAAGTCTCAATGGTCGGCTGAGAAAGCCCACGTGACAACTATTTTCATAGCGTCCACGGTTCCTAAAAAATCCATTGAGTGATAGATAACAATGATCAATCAATCAACGTATTATCAGTTAACCCTTTGAACAAAGTATGTTGTTTTTACATCGGCACTTCGCGCCATGATATGAGTGTATTCCCTTTGTTTTAGTAAACCTAGACATGTAAACACTCACTCTTGACATATCCACTGTGCAAGATAACAGTGATTAATCAATCAACGTATTTTCTGTTAATCCTTTGATGACTAGGAACGATCCGCTGATTTACAAAAAAAAGTAAATCAACTGATCATTCATCTCTTGCTGGGCTGCCACGTGCATATTACATAACACACATTTCACCTCACTTCAAACCTGGATTTAGATTGAATAATTACCCCAGACACAATAAATGCCAAATGGGAACCTTTGTCAGGTAATATAAGTGGTGCTACCACTAACTGTACCTGTAATAAATTCATTAACTGAGCATCAAGTGAATGACAACAAATACACAAGTGTAGGGTTATACGAGAAAACGTGGATGACAACAAGGGAGTAGTAATCGTATTATCGACGCAAGCCGAAATCCGAAAAAGGTTTCACTGCATCGATATTTTTTTTAGTATTAAACTATAACCATCTGGGGTATTTCCAAATGACGACATCCGATGAGCTCCCTTGTTTTTTTTGTCTGTTTGTTTAGGCTGCGTAAAACAAATATTGCCTCCAGCCTCCAAGTTTATTTAGCTGTCCTTGCAGACGGTACCCCAGTCTCTGGTCACGCTCAGTTGCGTTGCGTATCATCCGGGTACTCACGGGGGGAAAACAATAACAAAGGCAACAACCAGTCCGTTAGATCAGTGCCCCTTTAACGTTGTATTTTGCCTTGTTTGTTTGCATCTACTATGAAATGAAAACATTTTGGGATTGACAAAAGCTTCCTGTGTTTTTTCTTATTGAACAAATAAAATATTACAGATGTTCACCACACACTTTTTAAGGTTTATTTACATGTTAGCAACAAAATATCACAATCAACAGATAATCCTGAAATTATGTGTATGATGTAAATTGAATATAAATAGAATATCGGAAACTTCAAATGAAGTATTGTCAAAAAACATATTTCCAAAGGTTCAGAACCAGATACATATTTATATAGGGGCGTTCATCAGTTCGGATCCAATGAAGGATGCGTATACACGTACACCAGGTCGATATGACAGAACGCTACTTCAGAACAGAGTACCCGTGACACAGGTATATATGACAGAACGCTACTTCAGAACAGAGTACCCGTGACACAGGTATATATGACAGAACGCTACTTTAGAACAGAGTACACGTGACACAGGTATATATGACAGAACGCTACTTTAGAACACAGTACACGTGACACAGGTATATATGACAGAACGCTACTTTAGAACAGAGTACACGTGACACAGGTATATATGACAGAACGCTACTTTAGAACGGAGTAGGCGTGACACAGGTATATATGACAGAACGCTACTTTAGAACAGAGTACACGTGACACAGGTATATATGACAGAACGCTACTTTAGAACACAGTACACGTGACACAGGTATATATGACAGAACGCTACTTTAGAACAGAGTACACGTGACACAGGTATATATGACAGAACGCTACTTTAGAACGGAGTAGGCGTGACACAGGTATGTATGACAGAACGCTACTTTAGAACGGAGTAGGCGTGACACAGGTATATATGACAGAACGCTACTTTAGAACAGAGTACACGTGACACAGGTATATATGACAGAACGCTACTTTAGAACAGAGTACACGTGACACAGGTATATATGACAGAACGCTACTTTAGAACGGAGTAGGCGTGACACAGGTATGTATGACAGAACGCTACTTTAGAACAGAGTACACGTGACACATGTATATATGACAGAACGCTACTTTAGAACAGAGTACACGTGACACAGGTATATATGACAGAACGCTACTTTAGAACGGTGTAGGCGTGACACAGGTATGTATGACAGAACGCTACTTTAGAACACAGTACACGTGACACAGGTATGTATGACAGAACGCTACTTTAGAACGGAGTAGGCGTGACACAGGTATGTATGACAGAACGCTACTTTAGAACACAGTACACGTGACACAGGTATGTATGACAGAACGCTACTTTAGAACGGAGTAGGCGTGACACAGGTATATATGACAGAACGCTACTTTAGAACGGAGTACGCGTGGCACAGGTGTGTATGACAGAACGCTACTTTAGAACGGAGTAGGCGTGACACAGGTATATATGACAGAACGCTACTTTAGAACGGAGTACGCGTGGCACAGGTGTGTATGACAGAACGCTACTTTAGAACGGAGTAGGCGTGACACAGGTATATATGACAGAACGCTACTTTAGAACGGAGTACGCGTGGCACAGGTGTGTATGACAGAACGCTACTTTAGAACGGAGCACGCGTGGCACAGGTATGTATGACAGAACGCTACTTTAGAACGGAGTAGGCGTGACACAGGTATGTATGACAGAACGCTTCTTTAGAACACAGTACCCGTGACACATGTATATATGACAGAACGCTACTTTAGAAAGGACTTCGCGTGGCACAGGTATGTATGACAGAACGCTACTTTAGAACACAGTACCCGTGACACAGGTATGTATGACAGAACGCTACTTTAGAACGGAGTAGGCGTGACACAGGTATGTATGACAGAACGCTACTTTAGAACACAGTACACGTGACACAGGTATATATGACAGAACGCTACTTTAGAACGGAGTACGCGTGGCACAGGTATGTATGACAGAACGCTACTTTAGAACACAGTACCCGTGACACAGGTATGTATGACAGAACGCTACTTTAGAACGGAGTACGCGTGGCACAGGTATATATGACAGAACGCTACTTTAGAACGGAGTACGCGTGACACAGGTATGTATGACAGAACGCTACTTTAGAACGGAGCACGCGTGGCACAGGTATATATGCCAGAACGCTACTTTAGAACGGAGTAGGCGTGACACAGGTATGTATGACAGAACGCTACTTTAGAACGGAGTAGGCGTGACACAGGTATGTATGACAGAACGCTACTTTAGAACACAGTACGCGTGGCACAGGTATGTATGACAAAACGCTACTTTAGAACACAGTACACGTGACACAGGTATGTATGACAGAACGCTACTTTAGAACGGAGTAGGCGTGACAAAGGTATGTATGACAGAACGCTACTTTAGAACGGAGCACGCGTGGCACAGGTATATATGACAGAACGCTACTTTAGAACGGAGTAGGCGTGACACAGGTATGTATGACAGAACGCTACTTTAGAACGGAGTAGGCGTGACACAGGTATGTATGACAGAACGCTACTTTAGAACACAGTACACGTGACACAGGTATGTATGACAGAACGCTACTTTAGAACACAGTACGCGTGGCACAGGTATGTATGACAAAACGCTACTTTAGAACACAGTACACGTGACACAGGTATGTATGACAAAACGCTACTTTAGAACGGAGTAGGCGTGACAAAGGTATGTATGACAGAACGCTACTTTAGAACACAGTATCTGTGACACATGTATATATGACGGTTTGGTACTTTAGAACAGAGTATCCGTGACACAGGTACACAGTACCCGTGATACAGGTATGTATCAGAGTACGGTACTTTAGAACACAGTACCCGTGACACAGGTTAGTATAACAGTACGGTACTTTAGAACACAGTACCCGTGATACAGGTACGTACTTTAGAACACAGTAGTCGTTGCAAGGCAACAGTTCCAACATCCCAAATATGGTGTTCTAATACAGTAGCCACTGTAGTCGAAAGCATCGACCTGAGGGGGACATTCCTCCAGGGTTAGTCCAGGTGATGTACTTCCACATCAGCAGTAACCAGCATCCCAGGTCCGTCACACAGAACATCTTCATTTTGAAAAATGTCAGTCGTCAGATTCGGTCCACTGAGATTTGTACATTCTGGGGCAACAGCAGGATAATCATCTGGCGACAAGGACAAAATGGAGGTCTGGCATGACCAGATTTCCCGACTAGATCTTGATGCTGCCGAGTGCGTCCTCAGGCCATCTTCCTCTTCTCCATCTATACTCTGCAGTGACATCGACGACATGTTGACGGACTCCCTATCCCCAGTACAGAACTGTGTGTCGACCTTTGACAAGCGTCTGCTACCATCCCACTGTTTTTTGTTGAGGAGGAAGTTCATTTTGGTCCTGACGATGATTTTAAAGTTCCTGACGTTTCTCCTGAGGTACTTGGACTGGCGAACGACTGTGGGGATGTCGAGGATGATGATGCAAACGAGGATGAGGATGAGGATGGACATTGCCACAGTCCCGAATGCCAGAGATCCCTTTGCCTCCACTGGTGTGGCTTCAAACTTCCTCCGCATGGCTGCATCAATAGAAATAATTAGTCTTAATATACAAAGGAAGCAATAGAGCCACTCTCGTAAAATGGAATGGAATTCTGTGTAAGCATGCACCGTTGAATATCAATTCATAATATTTTGAATGAAATTTTACGACTTATTGCATATATACACTTGACTGAATCTTGTTACATTGTGAAATGTTAGTGAAGGCTGGTCCGATACAAGGAATTATACTAGATATATGTGTATGTGTGCACAGTCATTATGCATATATTCCACAGAACAGGACAATCCAAATCTGTCTTGATATTGGCGTTACACACGCGACTACATGTAACACTAGAGCACAAGGTGTCTGAGGCCCTTGCAGAATACTGTTGCATGTAGAACTAGATGGTATACATATAGGATGACGCGACTACATGTAACACTAGAGCACAAGGTGTCTGAGGCCCTTGCAGAATACTGTTGCATATAGAACGAGATGGTATACATATAGGATGACCGTGCATTTTCCAGGAATAACGAAGGTAAGTTAGAAGCTCACGTCTTTACATGACGTATTATCTTAGACTTATACCTGTCCACAAAACTACAGTCCCCACAACCATCTCACCTGTACCTGTCCACAAGGCTACAGTCCCTACAACCATCTCACCTGCACGTTTGCCCTCCTGTCCTGTCCACAAGACTACAGTCCCTACAACCATCTCACCTGCACGTTTGCCCTCCTGTCCTGTCTACAAGACTACAGTCCCTACAACCATCTCACCTGCACCTGTCCACAAGACTACAGTCCCCACAACCATCTCACTCACTCACTCATTTGCCCTACTGTCCTGTCCACAAGACTACAGTCTCCACAACCATCTCACCTGCACGTTTGCCCTCCTGTCCTGTCCACAAGACTACAGTCCCTACAACCATCTCACCTGCACGTTTGCCCTCCTGTCCTGTCCACAAGACTACAGTCCCCACAACCATCTCACTCACTCACTCATTTGCCCTCCTGTCCTGTCCACAAGACTACAGTCCCTACAACCATCTCACCTGCACCTGTCCACAAGACTACAGTCCCTACAACCATCTCACCTGCACATTTGCCCTCCTGTCCTGTCCAAAAGACTACAGCCCTTACAACCATCTCACCTGCACGTTTGCCCTCCTGTCCTGTCCACAAGACTACAGTCCCCACAACCATCTCACCTGCACGTTTGCCCTCCTGTCCTGTCCACAAGACTACAGTCCCCACAACCATCTCACCTGCACGTTTGCCCTCCTGTCCTGTCCACAAGACTACAGTCCCCACAACCATCTCACCTGCACGTTTGCCCTCCTGTCCTGTCCACACGACTACAGTCCCCACAACCATCTCACCTGCACGTTTGCCCTCTTGTCCTGTCCACAAGACTACAGTCCCCACAACCATCTCACCTGCACGTTTGCCCTCCTGTCCTGTCCACAAGACTACAGTCCCTACAACCATCTCACCTGCACGTTTGCCCTCCTGTCCTGTCTACAAGACTACAGTCCCTACAACCATCTCACCTGCACCTGTCCACAAGACTACAGTCCCCACAACCATCTCACTCACTCACTCATTTGCCCTACTGTCCTGTCCACAAGACTACAGTCTCCACAACCATCTCACCTGCACGTTTGCCCTCCTGTCCTGTCCACAAGACTACAGTCCCCACAACCATCTCACCTGCACGTTTGCCCTCCTGTCCTGTCCACAAGACTACAGTCCCCACAACCATCTCACTCACTCACTCATTTGCCCTCCTGTCCTGTCCACAAGACTACAGTCCCTACAACCATCTCACCTGCACCTGTCCACAAGACTACAGTCCCTACAACCATCTCACCTGCACATTTGCCCTCCTGTCCTGTCCAAAAGACTACAGCCCTTACAACCATCTCACCTGCACGTTTGCCCTCCTGTCCTGTCCACAAGACTACAGTCCCCACAACCATCTCACCTGCACGTTTGCCCTCCTGTCCTGTCCACAAGACTACAGTCCCCACAACCATCTCACCTGCACGTTTGCCCTCCTGTCCTGTCCACAAGACTACAGTCCCCACAACCATCTCACCTGCACGTTTGCCCTCCTGTCCTGTCCACACGACTACAGTCCCCACAACCATCTCACCTGCACGTTTGCCCTCTTGTCCTGTCCACAAGACTACAGTCCCCACAACCATCTCACCTGCACCTGTCCACAAGACTACAGTCCCTACAACCATCTCACCTGCACATTTGCCCTCCTGTCCTGTCCACAAGACTACAGTCTCCACAACCATCTCACCTGCACCTGTCCACAAGACTACAGTCCCCACAACCAACTCACCTGCACATTTGCCCTCCTGTCCTGTCCACAAGACTACAGTCCCCACAACCATCTCACCTGCACCTGTCCACAAGACTACAGTCCCTACAACCAACTCACCTGCACCTGTCCACAAGACTACAGTCCCCACAACCATCTCACCTGCACATTTGCCCTCCTGTCCTGTCCACAAGACTACAGTCCCCACAACCATCTCACCTGCACCTGTCCACAAGACTACAGTCCCTACAACCATCTCACCTGCACATTTGCCCTCCTGTCCTGTCCACAAGACTACAGTCCCCACAACCATCTCACCTGCACCTGTCCACAAGACTACAGTCCCTACAACCATCTCACCTGCACATTTGCCCTCCTGTCCTGTCCACAAGACTACAGTCTCCACAACCATCTCACCTGCACATTTGCCCTCCTGTCCTGTCCACAAGACTACAGTCCCCACAACCATCTCACCTGCACATTTGCCCTCCTGTCCTGTCCACAAGACTACAGTCCCTACAACCATCTCACCTGCACATTTGCCCTCCTGTCCTGTCCACAAGACTACAGTCCCCACAACCATCTCACCTGCACATTTGCCCTCCTGTCCTGTCCACAAGACTACAGTCCCTACAACCATCTCACCTGCACATTTGCCCTCCTGTCCTGTCCACAAGACTACAGTCCCCACAACCATCTCACCTGCACCTGTCCACAAGACTACAGTCCCCACAACCAACTCACCTGCACATTTGCCCTCCTGTCCTGTCCACAAGACTACAGTCCCCACAACCATCTCACCTGCACCTGTCCACAAGACTACAGTCCCTACAACCAACTCACCTGCACCTGTCCACAAGACTACAGTCCCCACAACCATCTCACCTGCACATTTGCCCTCCTGTCCTGTCCACAAGACTACAGTCCCCACAACCATCTCACCTGCACCTGTCCACAAGACTACAGTCCCTACAACCATCTCACCTGCACATTTGCCCTCCTGTCCTGTCCACAAGACTACAGTCCCCACAACCATCTCACCTGCACCTGTCCACAAGACTACAGTTCCTACAACCATCTCACCTGCACATTTGCCCTCCTGTCCTGTCCACAAGACTACAGTCCCTACAACCATCTCACCTGCACATTTGCCCTCCTGTCCTGTCCACAAGACTACAGTCCCCACAACCATCTCACCTGCACATTTGCCCTCCTGTCCTGTCCACAAGACTACAGTCCCTACAACCATCTCACCTGCACATTTGCCCTCCTGTCCTGTCCACAAGACTACAGTCCCCACAACCATCTCACCTGCACATTTGCCCTCCTGTCCTGTCCACAAGACTACAGTCCCTACAACCATCTCACCTGCACATTTGCCCTCCTGTCCTGTCCACAAGACTACAGTCCCCACAACCATCTCACCTGCACATTTGCCCTCCTGTCCTGTCCACAAGACTACAGTCCCTACAACCAACTCACCTGCACATTTGCCCTCCTGTCCTGTCCACAAGACTACAGTCCCTACAACCAACTCACCTGCACATTTGCCCTCCTGTCCTGTCCACAAGCCTGCAGCCTCGCACACCCTGTCCCATTTGATGATGTTGTTTTCGTCCTCCTGGAGGTAGCACTCGTATGTGACGATGTCGGTGTAGTTGAAGCCGGTGGCGTTAGACTTTGCCCCGCCAACAATGGGCGGCTCCCCACACGAGATGACTGAAATAGCAGTTAGAGGAAATTGTGGCTAATCTAAACATATACCAATGTTTGTTTGTTTGTTTGTTGTTTTACGCCGCACTCAGCAATATTCCAGCTATATGACGGCGGTCTGTAAGTAATCGAGTCTGGACAAGACAATCCAGTGATTGACAACATGAGCATCGATCCACGCAATTGGGATCGATGACATGCATCAACCAAGTCAGCGAGCCTGACCACTCGATCTCTTTAGTCGCCTCTTACGACAAGCATAGCCGTCTTTTACGGCAAGCATGGGTTGCTAAACTATTCTACCCCGGATCTACAATGTATCCCCATTCTAAACATCGCTATCCCCATTCTAAACATCGCTATCCCCATTCATCACATCGCCATCCCCATTCTACACATCGCCATCCCCATTCTAAACATCATTCTAGATGTATCAATGTACTATTGAAAATAATTACAAGAAACTATAAAGCGCTGGTTTCAGCACGACCACAACTCATAAAACTGTGTGACTTTGTAAACTGATATAATGCTATTATCTCAAAGTCAAAACGTTCAAAGGGGGTAATTCGAAAATGACTTAGTGAATGAATGCTATCTAACGCCGCAGTCAGGAATATTCCAGGCGCTTGTAAATAATCAGTCTGGAACAGGCAAACCGGTGACCGAGATCAACGCTCCACGCTGTGGGATCAAGACACCGAGCTTGGACCAAATGATCCAGTACTTAGTCGACAAGCCTTGGCTTGTTGGGACTAATTCTACCTCAGACTAAGAGACGTTACGCGAATACGCAAGACGCAGAGTATTAAACAGGTTTGACAACCAACAGTGAATGAACTTCTGCAAAATTCATAAGTTGTACGTTAGGTTATTACGACTCTACTGTCCCCATGGGGATTTGGGGTTAGAACGCAACCTTGGCTGGTCGTAAAGACTTGATAACTCGAGTGTTCAGGCTCAGTGATACTGCGTGTAATCGACCACCGACAGCGTGGATCGTTGTTCATCTTACCAATCTGGATTATCTGTTCCAGGCATAAAAACACTTTCCTTTCTAGAAATCAAAACAATCATGTATGATTATAATGACGAAATGATTGCCTTCAAAATGATCGCAACTCACTTGTGCAAACCGGTTCGTCACCGCTCCATAATTGGGTTTCCAGACAGACACGTGACAGGTCACCTGACGTGTGGTTGTAGCCAATCAGACAGTGGTATGAGGCACGTGACAGGTAGTGGGTCGTCGTGTGGCTCAGCGTAGCGTGTGTCACAAAGACCGGAACAGGGCAGTAGATAACTACAATTGACGTCGTGTTGTAATATAACTTAAATATGGTTTTCAATATTTTATGTTAACGTCTTACGTTTTTCAAATATTCTCCACAGCATCTACAAAGATGGAATATTACTCAGCGGTACAAATGACCATATTTCTCTCTAAGGTCTTGGGACGTGTATGACAAGGGCTCATTATGGCCGCAAGGTCTGAATGAGTAAAGCAGTGAACTATTGGACATTCTTTTTGACGGTATTCAGGAATATTCATATGAACGAGAATTTCACATTGTCCTTTTTCAACCTTGTATGTCTTTTTTACTTTTAATAGCACCAAATGTAGCGGTTAGGCTATAAGATGTCAATTGAAACCAACACAAGCGTTAAAGCAAGTATTTAACCCAAGCTGAATATTTCTTTCTTGGAAATATGTAAAGATAGTAAATACAACGGTAAAATATTCATCTTCAGGCAACTTTTTTTACACGTGGGTACATTTTTCGTTTCAATCTGCCTTTTTCGCTTATTTAAGCCATAAATCTTTATTTGGTTATGTAATCAGTCCAGTACTGGCAGAACTGAACCTTTCCATTAACTTGACCATACCATATTCCATAACTTATCCCCCTAACTCATTACATTGTTTATCTTTCCCAATTCAGTATGGGTGCAACTGCGGCAGGGCAAACCTTGCAGTTTTGCCAAGAGAGTTTATCACAGGAGGCTCCAAGTGACGGCTCCTGTGTTATCTAACGTAACAGGTTAACATATTGAAACACCGACTCACTGGTGCAGACAGGATGACTGCCACTCCACTGCCCGCTCAGTTGACAACGTCTTTGTAGATCACCGTCGGTGTGGTTGTAGCCGATGTTGCAGCTGTACTCTATGGTTGTGTTGTAGACGTTGCTGCTGCCAATCCTGGATGCATGTGACACCACAGGAGGCCCAGGACATCTGATAACTGAAATGCATTGACTGGCGTTGAGTGAGTGAGTGAGGGAGTAGGTTTTACTCCGTGTTTAACTTATCAGGGCGGGAAGAGTACAATGAGCTCCCTCTTTGTACCTGAGGCCTCACACCCCACCTACTCTCCCTGAACTCGGGTAGACGATGCAACTATTACGTGTCTCTAAAAATACCTGACAGGCAAATGAAACAACACTTGGAAGGTGGATTTGGCCAAAACATGATATGCGTTATGAAAACGTTACTTGGCCGAAAACAATCGCCGAAACACTGCACACTTAAGGTCCAAATCTCAACTTTGATACCCGTGTCAAATACATGGCAAGTATCAGGTCATACGCAGGTTTACTGAATATGTGTAGGTTATGACTTTATTGATGGTCTTTGACTGGGTAGAACTGGTGCAAAGTGTAGAATCAGGATAGTGATGTGTAGAATGGGGATAGTGGTGTGTAGTAAGGGGATAGTGATGTTTAGAATGGGGATAGTGATGTGTAGAATGGGGATAGCAATGTTTAGAATGGGGATAGCGATGTGTAGAATGGGGATATCGATGTGTAGAATGGGGATAGCGATGTTTAGAATGGGGATAGCGATGTTTAGAATGGGGATAGCGATGTTTAGAATGAGGATGGCGATGTTTAAATGGGGATGGTGATGTGTAGAATGGGGATAGTGATGTTAAGAAAGGGAATATTGATGCGTAGAATGAGGATAGCGATGTGTAGAATGGGGATAGTGATGTGTAGAATGGGGATATCGATGTGTAGAATGGGGAGTGTCAGTTTGCGGTTCTGTTGTAGGCAGAACAGGTGGAAGTTTCGTTAAAGGGGGACTATGAGTGTGTCAGTTTGCGGTTCTGTTGTAGGCAGAACAGGTGGAAGTTTCGTTAAAGGGGGACTATGAGTGTGTCAGTTTGCAGTCCTGTTGTAGATGGAACAGGTGGAAGTTTCGTTAAAGGGGGACTATGAGTGTGTCAGTTTGCGGTTCTGTTGTAGGCAGAACAGGTTCGAAGTTTCGTTAAAGGGGGACTATGAGTGTGTCAGTTTGCGGTTCTGTTGTAGGCAGAACAGGTGGAAGTTTCGTTAAAGGGGGACTATGAGTGTGTCAGTTTGCAGTCCTGTTGTAGATGGAACAGGTGGAAGTTTCGTTAAAGGGGGACTATGAGTGTGTCAGTTTGCAGTCCTGTTGTAGATGGAACAGGTGGAAGTTTCGTTAAAGGGGGACTATGAGTGTGTCAGTTTGCAGTCCTGTTGTAGATGGAACAGGTGGAAGTTTCGTTAAAGGGGGACTATGCATGGGTCAGTTTGCAGTCAGCAATATTCTAACAATATTATGGCGGCCTGAAGCCAACCGTTTTCGGGCTATATCACGGTGGCTTGTAGTTAGCAATATTCCAGCTATATCACAGCGTCAGGTACATAACCGTGTAAACCAGTGATTGATATTAAGAGCAAAGTCCCACGTCGATCAAGAACAGCTCACTGGCCACCTTGTTTAACTAACCTGGAGTCTATACGGGGGTTAAACAAAACTGTAATCAACAGCAGTTATGTGTAAATAATGTTGTCTGTGCGTGTTGTATTTGTAAGGGAACATTTACAGCGATGTTTGTGACGTGATCAACTAATCCCTTCTGACACAAGATAATCCTTTGACAAATTGCGTCTTTTGAAATACTTTCAAAGATTACATCTTTCGTAAGTTATATGGGGATAGCAATGTTTAGAATGGGGATAGTTGTGTGTAGAAAGGGGATAGAGATGTGTAGAATGGGAATATTGATGCGTAGAATGAGGATAGCGATGTGTAGAATGGGGATAGCAATGTTTAGAATGGGGATATTGGTGTGTAGAAAGGGGATATCGATGTGTAGAATGGGGATAGTGATGTGTAGAATGAGGATATCGATGTGTAGAATGAGGATATCGATGTGTAGAATGGGGATATCGATGTGTAGAATGGGAATATTGATGCGTAGAATGAGGATAGCGATGTGTAGAATGGGGATAGTGATGTGTAGAATGGGGATATCGATGTGTAGAATGGGGAAAGTGATGTGTAGAATGGGGGTAGCAATGTGTTGAATGGGGACAGTGATGTGTAGAATGAGGATAGCGATGTGTAGAATTGGGATAGTGAAGTTTCGGATGGGGATAATTGTATTTAGAATGGGGATAGTGATGTGTAGAATAGGGATAGTGATGTGTAGAACTGCAATGTAAAATAGAGGTTCAGCGCTGTAATAGCTCCATCTGGGGCAACTATGATGTTGACAAGAAAAGACGGGACGAAGATAATTTTGCTGCGTTTTGAAAAGAGGAAGTTTGAAGAAGCAGTAGACCCATCCTTGCCCCATACCTCAGACACCCGAGTCCATCAGTGTGACGAGACACAGATATAGCCGTCAAACTCTCTAAGTATAGGCTAGCATGCCACCAAGGAACACATCCACCGCAATAACCAGCACAGTGTGTCTGTACAATGGCTGAGAGCATCAGGATCCTGAGCTATGTATCTCCGCACACATCTTGTAAACCCTGACTGGAGATCTCTATCCGTCTCAGCTGATAATGCAGGTGGATTGTCCTGTCAAGGGCCAATATATGTGTATGTGTCAATTACAGGTGATAGATGGCAGCACTGCGTGTTGTATCGGTTGCTGGAATTAATTGGAGCGATGTAATTGATAGTATTAGCATTGGGGCTCACACACCATGATTACTTCGTACTGACAACAGTGACAGATGTGACGTTGTCACGACGGAACGGCTTCCAGTTTGTCGTTGGAATAGAATGACTCTTTTGGACAGGGTTTCGCCGACATGTTTCAGAAATAGTCCTGGCACATCACTAACAATTCTTCTTTCAAAGTTTCCAGGCGTGACATAAAAGCATTGTTCAAGAAAGTGTTACACAAGCTGGATAAAAGTGTATTGTAGGTGGAACAGGTGGAAGTTCGTTAAAGGGGGACTATGAGTGTGTCAGTTTGCAGTCCTGTTGTAGGCAGAACAGGTGGAAGTTCGTTAAAGGGGGACTATGAGTGTGTCAGTTTGCGGTTCTGTTGTAGGCAGAACAGGTGGAAGTTTCGTTAAAGGGGGACTATGAGTGTGTCAGTTTGCGGTTCTGTTGTAGGCAGAACAGGTGGAAGTTTCGTTAAAGGGGGACTATGAGTGTGTCAGTTTGCGGTTCTGTTGTAGGCAGAACAGGTGGAAGTTTCGTTAAAGGGGGACTATGAGTGTGTCAGTTTGCAGTCCTGTTGTAGGCAGAACAGGTGGAAGTTCGTTAAAGGGGGACTATGAGTGTGTCAGTTTGCGGTCCTGTTGAGGCAGAACAGGTGGAAGTTTCGTTAAAGGGGGACTATGAGTGTGTCAGTTTGCGGTTCTGTTGTAGGCAGAACAGGTGGAAGTTTCGTTAAAGGGGGACTATGCATGGGTCAGTTTGCGGTTCTGTTGTAGGCAGAACAGGTGGAAGTTTCGTTAAAGGGGGACTATGAGTGTGTCAGTTTGCGGTTCTGTTGTAGATGGAACAGGTGGAAGTTTCGTTAAAGGGGGACTATGAGTGTGTCAGTTTGCAGTTCTGTTGTAGATGGAACAGGTGGAAGTTTCGTTAAAGGGGGACTATGAGTGTGTCAGTTTGCGGTTCTGTTGTAGATGGAACAGGTGGAAGTTTCGTTAAAGGGGGACTATGAGTGTGTCAGTTTGCGGTTCTGTTGTAGGCAGAACAGGTGGAAGTTTCGTTAAAGGGGGACTATGAGTGTGTCAGTTTGCAGTCCTGTTGTAGATGGAACAGGTGGAAGTTTCGTTAAAGGGGGACTATGAGTGTGTCAGTTTGCGGTTCTGTTGTAGATGGAACAGGTGGAAGTTTCGTTAAAGGGGGACTATGAGTGTGTCAGTTTGCAGTCCTGTTGTAGATGGAACAGGTGGAAGTTTCGTTAAAGGGGGACTATGCATAGGTCAGTTTGCAGTCAGCAATATTCTAACAATATTATGGCGGCCTGAAGCCAACCGTTTTCGGGCTATATCACGGTGGCTTGTAGTTAGCAATATTCCAGCTATATCACAGCGTCAGGTACATAACCGTGTAAACCAGTGATTGATATTAAGAGCAAAGTCCCACGTCGATCAAGAACAGCATACTGGCCACCTTGTTTAACTAACCTGGAGTCTATACGGGGGTTAAACAAAACTGTAATCAACAGCAGTTATGTGTAAATAATGTTGTCTGTGCGTGTTGTATTTGTAAGGGAACATTTACAGCGATGTTTGTGACGTGATCAACTAATCCCTTCTGACACAAGATAATCCTTTGACAAATTGCGTCTTTTGAAATACTTTGAAAGATTACATCTTTCGTTAGTTATATTTTCATATATCTGGCCCTATTATTTATTCTTTGAGTCCGTTAAACCAGGTGTTGCTAAATACCATTGTTGGGTTACATGTACGCGAGACGCTGTTATCCCCATGCAATGCATGTGTCGAGTGACGGGGAGGAACACTGAGCCATGTGAGCAGTTTGACCAAAGCTGTGAACTAAACCGTCATGATCAAATTAAACCTCAGAAATCATAGCAGTCCTTTCAAAACACGGACAGCTCACGTTCTCTTTAATGATTACAATATTTCATCATTTTACAGAAATATTCCTTGTCCACGATCGCAGATAAATTAATTCCATTAGTATTATGATATTACACCGTAGGTACTCTGAAATATTTGGTGACATCTTGTCAACAAAATGACTAGATTATTGAAAGCGGCTTACCAAGCCACAAAATGCACCTCAGTGTACAAAATGTCCGCGCTTGTACAGGGCTTTATCGATTGGATTGAACGCAAACGCAATAGATATGTAACGTCATGATTAGGGTTATTCGTATTCTAGCTCCGTTACAGGAGATGCGTGCACGGACTGTTGTATTATGGCTCATGTTGTACGCATGATCTCTTCAACACGGTGTGTCCTAAACGTCTACTCGAGACCTCCATGGAGACCACGCGACTAATTTGTCAATATAACGTGAGTAATGTCATTCTTCTGTAGCTTTACGGTATTTAATTCAATATTCGTAATCTCTTCTAAGTAGCCTAATGATAAAAAAAAATAAGCGGTCCCTGTCGTTTATGCGTGAGAGTTCCAAGGGTCGTTTGACTGCTCTATCAACGCGGTGTGACCTTCCCTGATCTGACCACAGATAACAACGTAGCGATATATCAGATTCACAGATCAGAGAGTTTCCCATACCTGGTCTGAGGCAGGGTGGTTGTTTCCCTCCGTTGTTATTGTCCGGGAATTTACTGGTTGACTGGGCCAATCTGTTCCCTGCATACTCAGTGATATGATTTGTTTGACATGACTTAGTAATGATAGGTAGCCTCAACTGATCTATCAGCATGCAGACCGAGTGTGTGACATGCATGTCCCTTTAGACGTGTCCTGATTGGAGATAACTTCATTTGAGCATGGTTTTGTTCTAACTGTACGATAATCAAAGTATTATATAGTCTCTCACCACTCAGTACTGAGTGTACCACATACATGTCTTGCGAATGCATTTTTACACCATTTATCATAGAGAAAGGGGTAATATACTCCCGAGCAAAAGAAAGTATACACCAATGTTTGATGGTGACTAAAATGAAAACAAGAAATGTCTTTGGTGAAGTATTTGAGACGAGTATCATAGTTGTGTTTTGACTTTAAGTTTGCTGTGTTTCGGCGTATGTTTTCAGCCAAGAACACTCTTCAGAAAAAGAAACGCACAGGTAGTTCATTGAACCTGACTACACAAACAAGCCGGTATATAAATTGGATATATGTTATTGGAAAATGTTGGTGGCCTGATATTCGACAAACGGTACGTCAAAACGCGATTTGCAATGTCTTAAATACTTGTTCAAAAATGTCATGGGGGAAACAGTAAAGCAAAATGCACGTGCAAGTTATGGCATTCGTAACTCGTGGTAATGGCTATAAAAAGGCAAGCATAACCCAATTGTCCTTCAATTGCCAACACTTTTCAAATTCGAAAATGCCAAGACAGCGCTGCCGATCGGGACATCGCCAGAGGACGTATCCAAAAAGGGGAATCGTAGTTTTCAGTTGCACGCCACTTCAACGTCCACCACAGCACTATTCTGGGAATCCGACCCAGAAGACCAGTTATCGTCCCTGTTTTGCATCAGATTAATCGACAGCGACGCTTGCGTTGGTACCATACCTTACAGCCTTAAAATTTGAGAAACTGGAGACGAGTGTGGTTTAGCGATGAATCACGATCTTTTCTTCACCGGCGAGATGGAAGACAACGTTTTTATCGTCGTCGAAATGAGCGTTTTTCCGCACGTTGTGTACGTGAATTCGACAAATTCGGTGGCGGTAGTGTCATGGTGTGAGGGCCATGTCCTACACTACGAGATCTGACTTGGTTGTGGTTCAGGGAAATTTGACATCAAATCGCTGCAAGAATCAAATTCTTCAACCCCACCCTCTTCCAACCATTGACCTCCAGAGGGAGCTGTTTCAACAGGACAACGCTACACTGCACACAGTGTCACGGTAGACTACCTTCATAAGGCCAACGTTAACGGCCTGCCCTGGCCGCCGCTATCTCCAGATCTCAACCCAATCGAACACCTCTGGGATGGACTAGATCGACGTGTACTTCAACGTCAGAACACGCCGCAGACACTCCCACAACTGGCCAACGCGTTACAAGCAGAATGGCGCAGAATTCCGCAGGGACAGAATTCGTACACTTATCCAGTCAGTCCCGAGGATATGCAGAGCCGTGATTGCTCCCCGGGGCGGTCACACGAGATATTGAGTTCAGCGCAACCTTGTGGGTTTATGTGACATGACAATGAACAGTTTTCAATGCCTTTGTACAACGACATGTGACTATCGAGCTCCAAAATTTCATACTTGTATCTATGATATTAAATTAGAAATATCGATTTTATTAGGTACAATAAATTTCCTAAAAATCTACCTGTGAGTTTCTTTTTTTGTTGAAGAGTGTATTCGTTTTGATAACGTTCGTAATGTTTTGGTCAAATCAATTTTCAAAATTGTCAAAAGCTAGAATTAAGCTGGGGTGTTAGCGATGACGAGTTAGTTTGTCGGTTATTGTAATGTACCAACACTCCCATTTGTTGCAAATGTATTCAAAAACATAATTTGAAACTGGGCAGTGTACAAGTTGTAAAAGCTCAAAGTTACATCGTCACATTAATAGTGATTAAATTCAGCTTTAGAAATCATAAACTGTGTGAGAAACCTGTACCTTCACAAACAGGCAGGGAGCCATTCCACAAAGCCGACTCGTTACAGGTGCGTACCAGGTGTCCAGCTGATCCCTTGTATCCCAAGTCACAGGTATATGTGACTACAGACTCGTACAGTGTGGAGGTATGCATCGTCGTCCCATGCTGGATGGCCGGGGGGTCGCCACAGTCCACGCCTGTAGAAACACCTGTTTGTACTTCACCCCACTCAGCCACAAAGCATAATGTACACCGTGTTCACAAACCTATGTCCTCATACAACGCTCCACTACGAACTTCCGGCTTAAAGTGTTTCAGTAATGAAGAATATGGCGAAAAGGAAAACATCATCGTATTAATATATTTTCTCAGAAACAGATCCCAAAAGGTCCCAAAGGTCCATTTTATGGTCACCGACTATCAAACTAATGTCCTCTTCACTCAAATACATCCCTTTCAAACCTTAATGTTCATATGAGTAAGAACATAACAAATCAGCTATAGGCGTTTCATGACCCATTGGCATAACCGCATCGCCATACTCTCCCTGATCATGTTTCTAGGTTTGTCAGCATCATACGTGTTCTCGTGGGTTTAACCATGTTTAATTAGAAATGTTTAGGAGACAAATTAAATTGAATTAACATCGCATTGCCCTCGCTCTCCAACATGAAATGTTTTCAACCTATAATAATGGGCCGATTTCCTACGAAAATTTCTTGAACAGAATTCTTTTATTCTACTAAAGCGGTCAACGTCAATGCGTCACGCCAGGTCTTCGTCCCACGTCAAGCCGACGCGCCGTGGCATGTGACTCAAAGCGGTGTTATATTCTGTCAACAGCTGCCCATACTTACGCTGACATGAGACTCTGGTATCAAAGAACTGATCAACGATCCAGGAACCTTCTTTCCCGCACAGCTTTCTGCCCTTGTTGGCCGGAACCACCGACTCGTATCCAGGGTTACACACCTCGTCAACTGCCGTTAGGTACCACAACTCCGTGGTAGACAGGCCGGCGTTAGCGTCGATGGGTGCGGGGAGTGTAGGGCAGGACGCTGGAGAAATAGACACAGCCACAGTCACCGTTAGGCTGTATGGGGGAGTTGTCATCAATTAATGATATGAACACTGAGTTCGCCGCTCTGTGTATAACAGTCTTGGGTGAAATTGCCTCTATGATTGGCTATTTCTTCCTAAACCCTTCACGTAATGCCGAGTAACCAAATGTGTTAATTGTCAAGTAATTCAACACTACTTGAACTGCAAAATAATTGTCATGATATTTGTCTGGGAACACCTGGTGTCTTCATTGGTTTTCAGTGATCAATTCATATATTTTTTATCATTTTTGTTTGGGCTTTTAGATCCAATGAAATGTTTTGGCAGAACATCGAGGCTGATTTTTTGTCTGGCATTGACGTATTGAATTTACAAACAATTCAATGAAAGGTAGATATTTGGAATTCAAAACGTCAAAACGCTTTAGCGTTCTTCCAACAGGCTGACCTATCGTAATATAACTGAAATATGGTGCTGAACCAACTTACACATTCAATAAATGTATTGACTGTCTATATGATAATATAGTTAAAAAATTCTCCTTTTTTAATCTATTTTCTCACTCGGTTCGATATATTTGACCCATAATGTGTCCCTAGTTGAGACATATTTGACTCACTTGTCAATCTGGTGTCACACGTGGTTTTACAGATGTTGTTAAGGTAGATCTGGTTCGACTCACACTCTCCGTTCTTGGCCCTCAGGAGACAGTCACACGCCGAGTCCAGGGTGTACACATCTGCAGTAGATATAGCTCAGTATAGCCATCATCATGTCACGTGGTCAACACTTAACCAGGACACTCGCAGGATAGTCATCGCCATGTGACAGACACGTGGTCAGCACTAACGAGGTCGAAAAGTTATAAGCCTGACTAACTTTCAACTATGGGCCATAACAATGTCAATGTAGTCAATGCAGTACATTGTTTGAGTAGTTCATTGCAAGTATAATTGGTCTGTTCAGGTCGTTTGTATATTAGTGACGGCCAGTTGAACGTAATAGGGGTCAAATGGAAGTGGAAAAGAACAAGTACCGATCAGTCATCAAGTTTTTGACTTTAGAGAAAATGACTCTCCAAGAAATTCATGACCGCATGTCACAAGTGTATTGGGACTTACTTGGACACTCGCAGTGGTTGTCAGAGAGACAAGAGGTCAGCACTTACCTGGACACTCGCAGTGGTTGTCAGAGAGACAAGAGGTCAGCACTTACCTGACACACGCAGTGGTTGTCAGAGAGACACGTGGTCAGCACTAATCCGGACACTCGCAGTGGTTGTCACAGAGACACGTGGTCAGCACTTACCTAGGACACTCGCAGTGGTTGTCAGAGAGACACGTGGTCAGCACTTACCTAGGACACTCGCAGTGGTTGTCAGAGAGACAAGAGGTCAGCACTTACCTGGACACTCGCAGTGGTTGTCAGAGAGACACGTGGTCAGCACTAATCCGGACACTCGCAGTGGTTGTCACAGAGACACGTGGTCAGTACTTACCTGGACACTCGCAGTGGTTGTCACAGAGACACGTGGTCAGTACTTACCTGGACACTCGCAGTGGTTGTCACAGAGACACGTGGTCAGTACTTACCTGGACACTCGCAGTGGTTGTCACAGAGACACGTGGTCAGTACTTACCTGGACACTCGCAGTGGTTGTCACAGAGACACGTGGTCAGTACTTACCTGGACACTCGCAGTGGTTGTCACAGAGACACGTGGTCAGTACTTACCTGGACACTCGCAGTGGTTGTCACAGAGACACGTGGTCAGTACTTACCTGGACACTCGCAGTGGTTGTCACAGAGACACGTGGTCAGCACTTACTTGGACACTCGCAGTGGTTGTTACAGAGACACGCGGTCAGCACTTACATTGACACTCGTAGTGGTTGTCACAGAGACACGTGGTCAGCACTTACTTGGACACTCGCAGTGGATGTCACAGAGACACATGGTCAGCTCTTACCTGGACACTTGCAGTGGATGTCACAGAGACAAGAGGTCAGCACTTACCTGGACACTCGCAGTGGATGTCACAGAGACACGTGGTCAGCACTTACCTGGACACTCCCAGTGGATGTCACAGATACACGTGGTCAGCACTTACTGGGACTCTCGCAGTGGTTGTCACAGAGACAAGAGGTCAGCACTTACCTCGACACTTGCAGTGGATGTCACAGATACACGTGGACAGCACTTACTTGGACACTCGCAGTGATTGTTACAAGACCAAGGGCACGTGAGTAGCATGTAGGCAGGGTTCAACTCGCACTGGTGGATACTGGCCCAGTAGCCACACCGGAAGTCGTTGTCTAGACAGGCTGAAAACATCATCCAATATTGAGCGTCCTAATATGATTTCGGTGTTTAAACACTCAAAACATGAACTACAAAGTAGCAACAAATGTTATATTTGGGATAACACTTTCTTAGTTAAGTACAAATTCTAGTACTTTTGGGGGATTGAGTCATATCCGGGTTCGAACTTTTGGGGATGGACTCCCATCCGGGTTCGAACCAAATTGGAATCAATCCCCCAAAAGTACTAGAATCTGTACTTTACTAAGAAAGTGTTATCCCAAATATAACATTTGTTACATTTGACGACATTCTAAATGGCATTGTGTATTCATACAAAAAAGTTATAAAATAATTTATATTTAAGTTACTGGAACCATAGTTGAGAGGGCAGGTAGGGAGGCCTTGTGGTTAAGGCGATCGCACGTTAAACCGAAGGTCCAGGTTCGATTCCCCACATATGCGTGCAGAATATGTGAAGCTAGGTTCCCAGCCATGGAAAACCCTACTCACTCACTAACTCACTCACTAACTCACTCACTAACTCGCTCACTAACTCACTCACTAACTCAACACCTACTTCCACAAAGGATAATGTGCACACACAGTTTCTCAAAGCGTCACAAAATCAATAATATTGTTTAGTCTTTCACTATGTATCTTTGAATGTTTTGGAATTTCACTTAATAATGACGCTAGGAAAATATGTGCGGAAGGAAGTGAGGGGAAACAATAAAGTTGTTGAACTAGAAGGTTTGTTTGTTTGTTTGTTGTTGAACGCCGCACTCGGAAGTGAGGGGAAAGGAGTAGCCTTGTACAACAATAGAGTTGTTCAACTAGTAGGTTTGTTTGTTTGTTTGTTGTTGAACGCCGCAGTCGGAAGTGAGAGGAAAGATGTAGCCTTGTACAACAATCAAGTTTAACGCCACAATTTTCTGAATGAAGCAAGGACTTCTAATGACCCCTGAAATACAAAGAACACACGATGTACTGAACAATAAAGTCTGAAGAGAATACCTATGTCATGATGGTTATTCTAGAGGCAGTCTGTACACAGCCAATGTCACCGAATAGCAGTGATTCACCTGAGTGCATTACACGGCACATTTTTGGCCAACTCCTTCCCACACAGTTATTGCTGAACATTTCGAGGACATGTTGTGAGAATATACACATGTACTGGACCCTTTGTGTATATGTAGATAAGTCCATGTTTATCGACTCTGTGCATACCTGTATTATATACTTGATTGTAATCGCGGATTTACACAGAATCGAAGATCTACACAGCTGTTCCCCTGGCTATTCGTGAATCAGAGAGAAATTGTGTCCTGGTATGTGTAACCTCATCGACTTATGTCGCATGTCATCCTTGTCATGGCACATCTTGAAATCAGAATAACATTTTCTACATGCAATAAAACTATATCAAATTATATTATTTAACAGTTAATTCAATATTTTTTAGTAAAATATTTAACAAGCAGTTGTGGACTTTGAATGAATGTTGAACTCATTGAACTCCTATGAGATACTAGTATACTGTGATGAGTAATTTATTTTGTAATAACATCTGGTGACAACTTTACATGAAACTTTAAGGATTAAATACATCACTTTCGTATTTGAGACCATACTTGTAAACAAATACCTTAATCTGCGATTTTGTGTTGACATATACTTTTCTAAATAATAACACCTGTATACGGTAGACTTTTGATCGATTGTTTTACGTACAAGAACAATCAATGAACATTGTGAATTTTTTACCAATGTGTGCAAAAGATCAATTCCAACCAACAGCAGCTATCGCTACTCGAACGCTACAGGGACGCTACAAGATCACTCTATGATCGCTACTCGAACGCTACAGGGACGCTACAAGATCACTCTATGATCGCTACTCGAACGCTACAGGGACGCTACAAGATCACTCTATGATCGCTACTCGAACGCTACAGGGACGCTACAAGATCACTCTATGATCGCTACAGGGACGCTACAAGATCACTCTATGATCGCTACTCGAACGCTACAGGGACGCTACAAGATCACTCTATGATCGCTACTCGAACGCTACAGGGACGCTACAAGATCACTCTATGATCGCTACAGGGACGCTACAAGATCACTCTATGATCGCTACTCGAACGCTACAGGGACGCTACAAGATCACTCTATGATCGCTACACGATCGCTACAGGGACGCTACAAGATCACTCTATGATCGCTACACGATCGCTACAAGAGCGCTACAAGATCACTCTATGATCGCTACTCGAACGCTACAGGGACGCTACAAGATCACTCTATGATCGCTACACGATCGCTACAGGGACGCTACAAGATCACTCTATGATCGCTACTCGAACGCTACAGGGACGCTACAAGTTCACTCTATGATCGCTACAGGATCACTTTATGATCGCTACACGATCGCTACAGGATCACTATAGAAACGCTATAGGAACGCTTCACGATCGCTATGGAATCGCTACAAGAACGTACACAGAAATTGAACTCACCCGCGCTTGAAGTTTTGAACACAAAATACAAGGCCAAAAACATCCGTTCAAAAAACTCCATTCCGTTGGGTCATCACGTTCGGAAGATGATTGAACGTTTATCCAAATGTCTGAGACTCTCACAGAGAAAACCACAAGTCCATGAAATAATATTTGTCAAATTTCTCCAGTAAGAACCACAAACAGCGAACAGCACCCTTCTCGTCATGGTAAGGTGAATTAAAAAAATCGATCTTCAGTTACACTCCTTCTTCACATAAAACTGCTGGTCGTGGCGATGTTGTTGTCGGTGTGGACGTAACAATGTGACCATGTCCCCAGGGCATCCATGTCGCCACCGACACACGCAACGTGGCTGTGGTCACAGACCCCGTGGTCCTACTACAAGATTTATTGTGGGTCGTATTGACGTTTTCTTAGTTGTTACTTGACATCAATGGTGTTAATTACTTTTCTGCACTAACATACACGATGTGTAACCAATTCATCTCGGAATGGCACAGTTCGCTGTTCATATATCCTGACCTGCAACGGACTGTCAGTGCTGAGAGTATTGTTATTTGGGGAATTGGACAACAATTCATTGTATTTTTTCGTTTCGGTGATTCATTTGGCTTACAGTTTGGATATGTTTTCCTTTCGACAGAATATCCTGGGAGTTAGACGTCACCAAGAAAACATGACCAGATGGGGAAGGCTTAATTGATTTATTAGATTCTTTTCATGATCCAGTTCCCTCACTGTATGATTTGTTTGTTTGTTGTTGAACGCTGCACTCGGCAATAGTCGAACTCTTTGACAGCGGTCTGTAAATATTGGAGCCTGTGCCAGACAATACCATTGCATGAGCTGTGGTATCTCCTTGGTGGCTTATGGTTTGTTTTGTGTTTGCTTTGCCGGGTTGATAAGGTTATAACGTATATATATACTCAACAACAAAAGTTCCTGTGACACCAATATTTTAGTGTATTTTTCAAACAAGTAAAGTTTGGTTTTCAGTATTGTAGTACATGTATGGAATCAAGTCACAAAAACGCAACTGCTACAGAAAAGCATGCATTCCATGCAAAAGTTGACTTTTATGCAAGCCCCATGCATTTCACTACCCAAGAATAAAGACGTGCGTTAACGGGATTCCATTTGCATTGTTTAGCATCGTGCTGACAACAACCACTCAGAAAAACAACATAATTACGCAATTATTCAACATTACGAAATGCCACGCCTGTCCGAAGATGAGCGTGTGCGAGCCATTGGAATGCTTGAAGCAGGATCGAGTCAACGTGATGTTGCAAGACAATTTAACGTCCACAGAAACACCATTTGCCAACTTTTTGGCAAAGTTGGCAACAGACGAATGGAGTCAGAGACCATCCTCGGAGTGGCAGGCCACGCGTAACCAATAATCAACAAGACAACTGGATTCGAACAGCACACCTACGAAATTGATTCCAACCAGCAACAGTGACTGCAAGAAGCATCCGTGGCCTTCGACGAATATCTTCACAAACCGTACGTCGTCGCCTCAGATGTGCAGGGATTGTCGCCAGAAAACCCACCAGACGTCCCATTTTGACAGGAAACCACGTCTACGCAGTGGGCACAAGTTCTATTCACCGACGAGTCTCGTTTTCACCTCAGCCACAGCGAAGGACGGATTCGAGTGTGCCGACGTCGAAGTGAACATTACGTCAATCATTGTGTCATGGAAGAAGATCGGTTCGGGTGCGGCAGCGTTATGGTATGGTGTGGGATTACAGCAAGACAGAGGACCCGTTTGATAGTGGTAGAGGGAAATCTCAATGGACAGCGCTACCGAGACGAGTTCATCGGCCCTGCTGTTCTACTGTTTTTGCGTCGTCATGGCCCGGGCATCACCTTTCAACATGACAACGCCCGGCCTCATATTGCTCGACTTGTTCAGAATTCTCTTCAACAAAACAACGTGAATGTCATCCCCTGGCCGGCTCGCTCCCCTGATCTCTCACCAATCGAGCACATGTGGGATGAGATGGATCGGCGCCTTCGACGTCAACCACGTGTTCCACAGACACTCCAGGAACTTTAAAACATGCTCCAGCAGATATGGACAGATGTCCCACAGGACTTTGTGCAACGCCTGGTCCATGC